CTGCGGCCTTGCACGCTTTCACCCTTGACTCGGGTGCTTCCCGCTCCTTCTTTCGCGATTGCACCACACTCTCGCCGCTCAGTCGGCTAGTGGCAGTCTCTCTTGCTGACCCCTCTGGGGGTTCGGTCCTTGCACACTCCTCCACGGTTCTGCCGTGTCCAGCGGTCCCGTCTGGCTCTCTATCTGGCCTCCACCTCCCCTCGTTCTCCACGAACTTGGTGAGTGGAGCTGACCTTCAGGATGCGTGGGTTGACCAGTTCACTCCTAGAGGTCAGCGGGTGACCCACTGTTCGTGTACCCGGACGGGCCGGCACCTGGCCACGTTCACCCGTCAGCCAGGGTCGAGCATGTACACCCTGACTACCGTGTCTCCTCCGGATGCTAATTCTGGTCAGGTAGTTGCGTCAGGTCAGGTGTTTGCTGCAGCGTCCCGCTCAGGTCCTGAGTCGGCCCCCTGCTCGTGTCGCCTCCTGTCTCACCAGACTCTCCTCTGGCACCACCGCCTTGGTCACCCCTCCCTGCCTCGTCTCTGAGGCATGGCCTCCCGTGTACTTGTCACTGGTCTTCCCCGGTCTCTCCCTCCCCTTCCCCTAGGGCCTGCCCCAATCTGAGTTCCTTGCGTTGAGGGGCGGCAGCGCGCCGCTCCTCACTCCTCCGAGTTCCCTCCGACGGAGGCTCCCCTGCAGACGCTTCACATGGACGTGTGGGGCCCAGCCCGCGTCCGTGGCCAGAATCACGAGCGCTACTTTCTGCTGGTCGTTGACGATTACTCGCGTTACACCACAGTCTTCCCCTTGCGCTGCAAGGGTGAGGTCACTGAGGTGCTGATCGATTGGATCCGCGCTGCCCCTCGTCAGCTCAGCGAGAGTTTCGGCTCAGACCTTCCTGTTCTGCGTCTGCACTCCGACAGAGAGGGAGAGTTTTCCTCCGACCTTCTGCGAGCCTTCTGTCGTGCGGAGGGCATCCGCCAGACGTTCACGCTTCCGGCCTCTCCGCAGCAAAATGGGATTGCTGAGTGCCGCATTGGCATGGTCATGGATGTCGCTCGTACGACCATGATCCATGCGGCTGCTCCCCATTTCTTGTGGCCGTTTGCGGTTCAGTACGCGGCGCATCAGCTCAACCTCCAGCCCCGGGTCTCCATGCCGGAGACCACACCTACTCTGCGGTGGACGGGGAAGGTTGGCGATGCATCTGCGTTCCGTGTCTGGGGATCTTGAGCTTTCGTCCGCGACTTGTCTGCGGACAAGCTGTCCTCCCGTGCTATTCCTTGCGTCTTCCTTGGCTTCCCCCCTGACGCGTCTGGTTGGCAGTTTTACCACCCCACCTCGCGCCGTGTTCTGTCCTCTCAGGACGTCACGTTTGACGAGTCGGTTCCTTACTACCGTCTCTTCCCCTACCGCACTGCCCCCCTCCCCCCCCGCCGCTCTTCCTCGCGCCAGGTCCTTCCCCGGTAGACCCCCTCCCCCCTCAGGGTCCTGCCCCGTCAGGTGTGTCCCAGGGAGACGGAGTCGAGCTTGTCGAGGTAGCTATTGACTGTGGTGCTGCTAGGGGTGCTGAGCATGTGGGTGTCGGGTCTGGGGGTGCTGAGCCTGAGCGTGCGGAGCCTGGGAGTGCCGAGTCTGGGGGTGCTGAAACTGGGGGTGATGAGTCTGGGGGTGCTGAGCCTGGGGTTGTTGAGTCTGGGGGTGCAGTGCATGAGGGTGCTAGGCCTGCTCGTGTGGAGTCTGGCATTGCTGAGCCTGGAGGTCCTTCCGGTGCTTCGTCCCGGCAGGAGCCACTCTCTCCACAGCAGCTGCGTGAGTGATTTGCTCGGCGCTGGAGCCATGCTGCTGGAGCTTGTGGTTCTACGAGCGCTGGAGGTCCTCCTGCTGCTGGAGCTACAGGGGGTTCTGGAGCCACGGGTCTCGGAGGTGCTCGTACTAGAGGTACTGGAGCTGTTGGGCCTGGTGGTGCTACTGGAGCTGGAGCTGCTGGAGGTGCTGGAGCTGGCGGTGCTACTGGGGCAGGTGTTACTGGAGGTACTAGAGCTGGAGCTGCTGGCGCTGCTGGGGCTTCTCGTGGTCCTCTTTGAACTAGAGCTGCTGGAGGTGCTGGAGCTGGCGGTGCTGCTGGAGCTGGTGCTCCTGCGGGTGCTGGAGTTGGCGCTTCTGGTGCTGCTGGAGGTGCTGCTGGAGCTGGTGGTACTGCTGGAGTTGGAGCTGCCACTGGGGGTGTTGGTTCTGTCCCTGCTGGTTCTGGAGGCGCTGCGCGGCCGCGGCCGTACTACGTTCCGCTCCTTCAGCAGGTTCTTGGTCTTCTGCCTTCTACTGGTCCTGCTCCTTCCTTCGCCTGTCAAGTCGCAGTCCCAGTTAGAGCCTGCCTCCCCACTACCTGCTCCTTCTCTTTACTCTGGTCCGACCAGAGGTCTTGTTGAGCGTCGTGAGCCTGCGTCGCCTGTTCGTGCTGCTAGCGCTAGTCATCGTGGTTTGCGTCAACGTCCTCCTCCTGTCCCTGGCACGCACCGGATGGCTCTGCCCCCTTCCACTGCTCCAAAGCGTGTCCCTCTGCCGTCTCCTCTTGTGTCCTCTCTTCTTGCCCTTTCTGACCCGGAGTCTGACTCCCTTCGTGCTGCTAGTCCTACTGTCAGGCGTCAACTGGCCACTGCTGTTACTGACCCTTCTTTTGAGTCCACTGCTACGTCTGCCTTAGTTGCTGAGCTTGTCGACTTTGCTGCTCACTATCGTCTCGACTACGCCGCTAGTCTCGTTGCTGAGTCTGAGTCTGTCTGTTCTCCTTCCGTCAGGGGTGAGTGTGCTCTTGGCACGGACGTCCTTGAGGACAGGCAGGAGGACTTTGAGTGCTTTGCAGCCGCTGTACCTCATCTCGTGTCATGCTGATTGCACCTGAGGGAGACCCGGATGCACCAGACATCCCGACCCCGCACTCTTACGCAGAGGCGATAGAGGGTCCCTACTCCTCTTAGTGGCAGTCAGCCTTGCACGCAGAGATGACATCGTGGAAGTCCACAGGCACTTACGTCGACGAGGTTTCCTCTCCTGGGGCGAACATCGTCAGTGGCATGTGGATTTTCGGAGTGAAGTGGCCGCCGGGTTCTCCGCCTGTCTTCAAGGCGCGTTACGTTGCTCGAGGCTTCAGTCAGCGACAGGGAGTTGACTTCTTCCAGACCTTCTCCCCGACTCCGAAGATGACCACTTTTCGGGTTCTGCTGCATGTTGCTGCACAGCGTGACTACGAGCTTCACTCTCTTGACTTCAGCACAGCCTTCTTACAGGGCAGCCTGCACGAGGAGATCTGCTGCGCCGCCCACCTGGCTTCACTGGGTCGTTTCCTCCTGGTACCCAATGGAGCCTCCGGCGGCCAGTCTACGGTCTCCGCCAAGCACCCCGCGGGTGGCACAACACACTGAGGACTACGCTTGCGGTTCTTGGGTTTGCTCCTTCCACTGCTGACCCGTCGCTGTTTCTCCGCACCGATATTCTACATCCTCGTGTACGTCGACGACTTGGTCTTTGCTACTGCTGACACTGCTGGACTGGCCCACGTGAAGTCGGAGCTGCAGAATAGACACACGTGCACAGACCTGGGTGAGCTGCGCAACTATCTTGGCTTGCAAATCACCTGGGACAGAGCACGGCGCACCATTACCTTGACTCAGTCACACATGGTGCAGGAGGTTCTTCAGCGCTTCAACTTCACGTACTCCTCGCCTCAGGCCACTCCTCTGCCTAGTCGCCACTCGCTCTCAGCTCTGCCTTCGGATGAGTTCGTAGAGCCGATTGGCCCGTACTCAGAGCTTGTTTGCTGCCTCATGTACCTGATGACCTGCACTCAACCTGACCTGGCATAACCTCTTAGCATCTTGGCACGCTATGTTGCTCGTGGGAGACACCGACCAGAGCACATGGCTGCAGCGAAGAGGGTGTTGCGCTACCTGTGCAGTACATCGGGCATGGGGCTCGTGCTTTGAGGACGGGCTCGAGTTGTCCTCACTGATCACGCACAGGCTTCTTGGGTTGACGACTTGGCTACGCAGCGGTCGTCATAGGGTTACACCTTGAGCCTTGGTTCCGGCTCTTTTTCGTGGCGGTCTACCCGCTCGTCTTCTGTTCTTAGCTCCAGTTGTGAGGCTGAGATCTACGCTGGGGCCATGGCTGCACAGTAGTTACGCTGGCTCACCTACCTACTGACCGACTTGGGAGAGGCGCCTCGTTCTCCTCCAGTTCTGTACATTGACAACAAGGCCATGCTGGCCTTGTGTCAGGAGCACAGACTGGAGCACAGAACGAAGCACATTGCTCTGCGCTTCGTCTTGCTTACGTGGCCTCGAGAGTTGCAGCAGCGTGGTCAGCTTCGTCTTGCTTACGTGGCCTCTCGGGCCAACACTGCTGATATCTTCACCAAGGCACTTCAGCCTTGTGATCATCAGCGTTTTTGTACTATGCTAGGTCTTGTGCCTACCGGGCCTCACTTGCTTACCTCTTGACTTTGCTTGTACTGTGATCTATATATACCTGTGCGTGCATGCTTACCTTTGTTAGGCTGCGATCACTTTCTTGCTTGTTCACTTTGAGTTATAATTCTGTTTGTGAACTGGCCTTGTGGCCTTGAACTTGTGCTCAGAATGTGTGGTGACGTTGTGATCGACCCTGAGCTTGACCTTGCCTTGTTCTCTTACTTGTCCCCCACTTTGCCTATTGGGGTGTGTTCGAACTATTTTGTAGGCTGTAGTGGGGCACTCCTTATGGGGTACAGTAGTGTTAGGGTTCCCTACTTGTACTCCTCATGCTGCTCAATGAGCTCATTTTCCTCGTTCTAATTCTCACATATCTAGCGTGCCCACCCGTCACCATTTTCACCGCATGTGGCTAACCACACCAGCAACCCACCAACAGGAGGCGCTTTTTGTGCGGAGCCCAGAACTATGGGTCTACTGGGACCGAATTTCACAGAACCTAGCCCGCATCAACGCCGCAGATCTCGACGTAGAATTTCCCCCGATGGCTTCGAAGTACTTCGTAAACATTGAAATCACTTGGCGAGCAGACGTTCACCCGTCTCCCACCGTAGGAATGAACCCCAAAAATCATGGTTGTCGAAGCAGTCCCGAAGTATTTTCCGCGGCGTAACCCCGACGTTTCCGCCGTTGACCCTGGTACTCCGACGTTCACCCGTCTTCATACCCGTCGAAATTATTTAGCGAATCCCAGGTATCTTTGCCGATACATCCCTCGCTGCGCCTCCATGTAACAATATCAAACCCTTTCGGGTGTCTACCGAATAGACTCTGAATTTCGCGGTGGAGTGGTGTACGGGCTCAACCTTTCACTCAGGAGATCTCCTGGAGCACCTGTTGAGATACTAGCGTGACTTAGGCTTAGGAGCCATTGCTAGTGAGTGTCTTAGTAGCTTAGGTTTAGGGTTGAAGATGAATGTCGAGAAAGTTGAAAGGAGAGAATGGGGCTTCACTATAGGTTTGCAAGAACATATAGCAAAGGAACAAAGAAGGTGCACCACCAAACAAAGTTTATAATAACTACACTAACTACAGCTACAGGCAGTTACAGATATATTCTAACACTCCCCCATAACTTCTTGCAGCAGAAGCTAATGCAGAGACACCCCCTGAAGGGGTACACCAAGCGCAGCAGGAGGAGAGGGCAAGTGAGGAGGAGGGATTATATGAGGAGAAGCTGCTGGCAGGTGAAGCTGCTGGCTCCAAGGCGGCTGCTTCTTGGAACCTTCCTCAGTCCTCCAACTCCCCTTTCCACACTCCTCGACAACCCTAGCACCTCTCCCCCAGCTCCCCCACACCCTCACACCCACCCCCCCAGCAGCAGTTCCAGCTGTGGGAAAGAAAGGACGAGGAGGGGAAGGGGATCACACACACCCATCACCCCCATACCCGCCACCCCCATAGCCTCTGTTCCACGGCTGCATGTGCAGGAGGGAGACGAAGAAGGGGAAGGGGGAAGAGCAGGGGCAGCATAGGCATGGGCAGCACAGGCACGGGCAACAACGGGCGGCGACGGGCAGCACAGGCACGGGCAGCACAGGCACAGGCAGCAACAGGCAGCAACGGGCAGCACAGGCACGGGCAGCAACAGGCAGCAATGGGCAGCACAGGCACGGGCAGCAAAGGCACGGGCAGCAACGGGCAGCAATAGGCAGCACAGGCACGGGCAACAACGGGCGGCAACGGGCAGCACAGGCACGGGCAGCAACGGGCGGCAACGGGCAGCACAGGCACGGGCAGCAACGGGCGGCAACGGGCAGCACAGGCTCGGGCAGCAACAGGCGGCAACGGGCAGCACAGGCAGGGGCAGCAACGGGCGGCAACGGGCAGCACAGGCATAGGCAGCAACAGGCAGCAACGGGCAGCACAGGCACAGGCAGCAACGGGCGGCAACAGGCAGCACAGGCACGGGCAGCAACAGGTAGCACAGGCACAGGCAACAACGGGCGGCAACAGGCAGCACAGGCACGGGCAGCAACGGGCGGCAACGGGCAGCACAGGCACGGGCAACAACGGGCGGCAACGGGCAGCACACGCACGGGCAGCAACGGGCGGCAATGGGCAGCACAGGCACGGGCAGCAACGGGCGGCAACGGGCAGCACAGGCTCGCGCAGCAACAGGCGGCAACGGGCAGCACAGGCACGGGAAGCAACGGGCGGCAACGGGCAGCACAGGCACAGGCAGCAACGGGCAACACAGGCACAGGCAGCAACGGGCGGCAACAGGCAGCACAGGCACGGGCAGCAACAGGCAGCACAGGCACGGGCAGCAACGGGCCGCAACAGGCAGCACAGGCACGGGCAGCAACGGGCGGCAACAGGCAGCACAGGCACGGGCAGCAACGGGCGGCAACGGGCAGCACACGCACGGGCAGCAACGGGCGGCAACGGGCAGCACAGGCACAGGCAGCAACAGGTAGCAACGGGCAGCACAGGCACGGGCAGGAGCAGGCAGCAACGGGCAGCACAGGCAGGCAGCCGTACTGAGTCCAGGAGCGGCGGCGCATACAGCTGTAAGGTCGGCGCCGTGGGCTGCTGCTGGGGCGGCTCGCGGGGTCCAGGGGCGGCTGCTGAGGTCCAGGGGCGGCTGCACCAGGGGCGGCTGCTGAGGTCCAGGGGCGGCTGCACCAGGGGCGGCTGCTCTAGTGGCCAGGGGCGGCTGCTCCAGGGGCGGCTGCTCCAGGGTCGGCGCAGGTGCAAGGTAGGCCAGCGCGCGGCTGCAACGCTTGCGCGGGCGCAGGTGAGGCAGAGGCGGTGGCCAGGGGGGAGGGCGCCGCGACGAGCAGGGACGGCGCCCAAGGGGTGCCGCTACGAGCAGGGGCGACGCCCCAGGGGCGCCGCGACGAGCAGGGGCGGCGTCCAGGGGGCGCCGCGACGAGGAGTGGCGACGCCCCGCGGGTCCCGCAGAGGCGTCGCGACGAGCAAGGCGACGCCGTGCAAGTCCTGCAGGGGCGTCGCGACGAGCAGGAGCGGCGACGCCCGGGTCCCGCAGGTGCTTTGCGACGAGCAGGGACGGCGCTTCGCAGGGCGCCGCGAAGTGGAGGGTACGGGCGGGCAAAACAGGCCCGCGCGTGGACGTGAGGCAGGCGCGCAGGCGGCGTGAGGGCAGGCCACGCGCGGGGCAAGAAGACGCCGCGCGCCCAGGGCGCATGGCGGGCAGAAGCCCGCCGTGCGCCCCGAGCACACAGCGGGCAGAAAATCGCCGTGCGCCATATGCCGCGCGCCCGAGGCGCGCGGCAGAACGATAGGCAGCGGAAGCAGGAAGGCAGCAGGAAGGTACCTGCTCTGAATACCATGTTGAGATACTAGCGTGACTTAGGCTTAGGAGCCATTGCTAGTGAGTGTCTTAGTAGCTTAGGTTTGAGGTTGAAGATGAATGTCGAGAAAGTTGAAAGGAGAGAATGGGGCTTCACTATAGGTTTGCAAGAACATATAGCAAAGGAACAAAGAAGGTGCACCACCAAACAAAGTTTATAATAACTACACTAACTACAACTACTGGCAGTTACAGATATATTCTGACAGCACCCACGACTTTCCCTCAAATCTTTTTTTTTGTCTTCACCCCTCGACAATTTCGCTTGCCGCCGTTCACCCAGTGTCCGTTTTTGTCGGTTGAGGTATAACTCCGTGTTGCCCGCGATTTTTCTGACACTCGGTGAAGGCACGAACACTATCGTAGCCGGATCATGTTTATCATGTCAAACAGTCAGGCCGGCCACTTCGTTGCCCACCTCGTCTATCGCGTTTAAATCTCCACAGCTTCGGAAACCCCGTCTAGCCGCTACACCTCCGTCGGGTAGACCGCTGAATAAGGAAAAACTCCGACAGCTGCACCAATTTCTTGAGCTCCGATTTTTTCGGCAGGGGGACTGTTGCCAATGGTCCGGTTTTGTCGGGGCCGACACAATGTCGCAACCTTGAAAATTTCTTATACGCCCAACAGTCGAACTTGAGCATTACCCGCGCTCTTTAGCCAGCACAGGGCTAAACACAGGGCCCCACGTTATTTGTCCAGTGCCCTCCAGGACTGTCGCCACTTAGGCCGCCTTCGAAGCTACCTGGTGTGGGGTATGTGGAACGTTGTAAGACTTTGGTCGATAGTTGGGCCCTATCCAGCTACCGCCACTTAGCCACGAAACCCGGCATCAACAGAAAGTCTTTTTTGGTAGGTCGTCTTCTCTCCTCCTGAAGCACGGAACCCGTTTCTCTCGTTGGACCCACACTCAACGCAACTCCGTGTATTGTAGCCGGTAGAACCTCCGAGAATCGCAGGTCTAAAGACTGCGCTGAATCGTTGCCCCGCCGGTGTACTGCCCTGTCTGCGATGCAACTACCCTTGATCAGGGGGTGCTGTGCCGCCTGAAGTACAAATCGTCCGTTGCTGTTGCTCCGAAAAAATTGCCGATCTTGTTGCAGGTACAGCAGTGATCCTAGCGATAGGCGGTCTAGTCGTAGGTGGCTTTTCCCGAACTTTTCGGTGGATTGAAAAACAACTTCTGTCCCATACTGTGCCGCTCTGCCGAAAACGTCGACGTCGCACCCTCCTGCAGCCACGCCGGCCACACCCGGGCGGGACGACAGTAGACTCCCGCTTTCTTCGGGCAGTCGCCACGCTGTCTCTCCTCGCCGTTGCATTTTCCGACGCAAATCACCAGCGCCTGGCCTGCCAGGCCAGCTGTCGTTTCACACGTGAAGCCACACGAAATCTTCGCGCACAGTGACGACGATCACCACGTGCCGAAGACCTCCAAAAATCTCGTGTGCAACGTGACGATAACGCCTGACGCCACTTGCCGAACTCATTATTTCCCAATTTTGTCGCGCACATATGACGACCACGTGCCGACGCCAACTCGCACAACAGTGACGACCTTGCTCCGCCGAAAATCTCGCGCATGCAGTGACGAAGATCTGCCTGACGTCAACTGCCGCATAAGAATAGCGCAGAGACTAGCGGAAAAGACGAAAACAACACACGCAATTAATGTGGGACAGCCACAGCTGTCAGAATGTGTCATCTGTCTAGTCTGCAGTGGGCTACTCTATAGTGAGTAAAGCCCGATTAGGGTTTGCTATATGTACTGCCCTGCTTACTAGTGCAACCTCTCTTTCGTGTTCTAACTTTCTGCTACTGTTTCTGACAATAGCTGCCCACCAGCCGGGGGGAGGGAGGTCACGGTCCATCTCGACCGTCGAGGGCAAGGATCCGGCGGTGCCGAAGGAGCGCCTGTGAAAATCATGGCCGCGAGGAGCAACTACCCGTTCTCCTGGCCGGCTATCGCGCAGCTCCTAGACCCCACGGCATCCTTCCCGTCCCCCCCCCCCCCCCCCCCCCCCCCCCCCCTGAGGGGTATTACACTCTAAAATACGGGGAACCTAGGAAAATAGCTCTGATACCAAGTGTTATGAGTTGTACTAAGAAGAGTGCGCGGAAGACTTTATAAAAAGGATGAAACTACAGAATTACTGAATGAACAAGAGAGGCATTTATAGGGCGAATACGTGCTAGGCGCGGACCTCGAGATGTGGATGGTTTGAGGTGTCGCGATTGGTGCGGGGCGACTCGGAAGTGGTTCGGTCCGAAGTGTAAGCCGAACCTCGAAACTGACGCGAAGTGTTCGGGGTTGTTCTCGCTAGGAGCAACCTCTACAGTAATGAATTCGTATTCATTACATTTACATTCCATGCACTGTTTTTGTGAGTTAAGACCTGGTAACCGAAATATAAAATGGTGAAGGCCGACCCAACTTGAAATGGCTGCGATAAGTTCGGCTGGTACATCCCTGTTCCAAACAAAACGGTAAAGTAGGTTGAACTCATCTGATTGGCTCACACCAATCTGAAAAAATTGGCTCCCGCCAAAACGATTTTGCATGATCGTTTCAGCCGTCGCATTTTGGCTCGCTACACCCGCACGAACGGAGCCCAGCGATGGTTTCCATCGCCAGGCCCAACTTCCATTCAAGATGGAACTGGGTGAATGAATAGCTGATCTCTGGTCCCGAAGTCACCAGCGTTTTACGTAGCATAGTAGCAAAGCTTAGAGAGCCTAAATGTAGTATCGATTAGCTCGCGCGCGAAATGTAGTAAAAGTTGCTTCGTAAAATAAACACCTTTTCTCTTCTCGCGCAAGTGTTACCCTACCCTTCACCTGCGCTGCTGTCGCGGTTCGCCCTCCTGTCGCTCTTCATCTCTTCTTCTCACATGAACCACCTCGCCCTTCCATTGCCCCTTCCTTCATCCTACTCCTATCACCAACCTCGTCACGTCGCGCATGATGTAAACTGCCCTCCCGTCACCCTTCCTCTCTCCAAATCACATCACCTACCTCGTCGTCGTCACGCGCGCCACATATTGCCCTCCCTTCGCCCTTATTTTCTCCCTTCGCGCCCCCCACCTCGTCGCCCTCTCAGTCGGCCCAAATCGTCTGTTTCGCTCTCGTTATTCCCTCCAATCGCGTTGGTCTCGTACTCTCCCCTCTCGTCCTCTCTCCCTCAAGACCCTTCCTATCCCGTCGCCCTTCCGATCTCCCGCCGCCCTTCCTATCCCGCTGCCCTTCCGGTGTATCCTCGCCCTCGACATCTTCCTTCCGTTGTGCTAAAAGAACTACGAGATGGAACATAGTTCTGTAAATTTTTACGTCCCCTTCCCGTCGCCCTCGCTCTCTCCTCTCCCACGCAATCTCCCCTCCCTTCCCGTCGCCCTCGCTCTCTCCTCTCCCACTCCATCTCCCCTCCCTTCTCGTCGCCCTCGCTCTCTCCTCTTGCACCCAATCTCCCCTCCCTTCCTGTCGTGTTAGAATCTAGCAGCAGGAATGAATTGACTAGATCAGGGTTCGGTACAAATATGAAACCCTAATGGGGTTGTACCCCATATTGCCTACCCCACTATAGCCTACACATACAAAACATGCATAAAATTTGACACACCCCCATAGGCAAAGTGGGGGAGATCAAAGGGTCACAAGACCAGCCAAGAGAAGCAAAGCAAGCTCAGGGTGGATCACAACGTCACCACACACACTGACTACAAGCAAAGGGCCACAAGGCCAGTTCACATTAAGAGGTATATATGCAACAAAAACAGCACATTGATCTCTACCTACCAGGAGCAAGCATGCTGGTATAAATATAAAGATCACAGTACAGGCAGAGCCTACAGCAAGTGAGGAAGCGTAGGCACAAGGCCCAACAAAGTACAAAAGCGCCGATGATCACCAGGCGGAAGTGCCTTGGTGAATATATCATCAGTGTTGGCCTGAGTGGCCACATGAGCAAGACGGAGCTGACCACGCTACTGCAACTCTCGAGCAAGGAAGTAACGCAGGGCGATGTGCTTCGTTCTGTGCTCCAGTTTGTGCTGCTGACACAAGGCAATGGCGGTCTTGTTGTCTACGTACAACACTGGAGGAGAACGAGTCCGCTCTCCCAAATCGGTCAGCAGGTAGGTAAGCCAGCGTAACTCTTGTGCAGCCATAGCTGTGG